TTTTTTTTTTTTTTTGGTCTATCTAGTATATCTGTTTTGGGTCATGTGGTTCGCTTGCGGGTCCGTTGGTCTTGGATGCGCGTTCATGTCCAGAAATGTACCCAGTAACGAAATGGGCAGATTTGACGAAATTTCGTCAAAGTGAGAGGATGTTCATGGATTTGATGATTTTGGCGAATTAAAGTTAAATTTGTCAAGGCCAAATCAGAGTGGAGTGGACGGTTTTGGTGACTTTTTTGCCGGCCATAACTGTGCAAATTATCTCATCAGAAACGGTCCTAACGGCCCTATTTTGGCGAATATTATGCACATTATATTATCAGAGACGGTCCTAACGCCAAACTCGAATTTTTCGCCAAATTCGCCAACTTTTTGGGCTTTTCTATATAAGTCATCTTTATTCACTTGTATAATTTTGTCAACAAGCTTGGCGAAATTTCGTCAGATTTGTCACTTTCGCCAAATTCGCCAACTATTTGGGGCCCTTCTATGTAAGTCATCTCTATTCACCCGTATAGAGTGTGTTCATTGTCACGCAATAAAAAAGTAGAATCAAAAACCAATTCAAGTCAAGAAATTATAATTTTATAGACGATAAAGAAGACAGTTCTCCAAGTTTAAAGTGTGTGCGTTATCCCAAAGTTGAGATATTCGTTGAAATGTTCCGCGCAAAATTATAGAGCCTAGTATGGAGCCGCCATGTTGGTGGACCTCCTTTAAGGGTTATAGTCCTCCAATATGGCGGTCGGAAAATAATGTAAACATCTGGAACTTACTTTGGCTATCTAGTCGACTGATTATCTGAACCGAACCAAAAAACATTTACACAAGCACTTTTCCTAATACTTTAACTCCTAAAATGACTAAAAATCAGGAGATCAGTGTATATTTTTCGAGAAACGCGATCTTAGCTTTATATGTCACGCACCGCCATAACTCCGAAATTCAAAATGCGCTGGTTTCCAAACGAAGAACGCTATTGAGCTGGAAAGTTACAAAAAGATATAAATTTAGTACCTCTTATGCCTGATAAGGATAAAACATTTAGTGGCTCTTTAGTTTTGGATTTGAGAATTTGATGACGCCACGTAATCACACTCTATAATTTTGTCAACAACCTTGGCGAAGTTTCGTCAGAGGGGCCCCTTCTAGCCAGGGGATGTCTATTCACTCGTATAATTATGTCAACAGGTTTGGCGAAATTTTGTTAGATTCGTGCTATTGACAAAATTTCTAAAATTTCAAATTTCGTCAAATCAGTCAATTAAGTAAACAAAAAAATAAAGAAAAAAAAGAAAAAAAAATGAAATTGAAAATGAAAATGAAAGGATAAAAGGCGTGGCAGCCATATTTGTGGTAGAAACAGCAATCAAGATCGCAGTGCTGATGTCACATGAAACCAAGAATTAACGGTGAAGGCCTTAATAAAGACAACGCTATCATGAATTTCAGCTGTCTCATTGTGTCTCTTTTACATTTTGTATGACTGACTCAAGGAGATCTCAAGGAGACTTCCTTCTCGTACGGAGCAATTTTGGTTAATACGAGATTTATTACATGCCCTTTATACGATTGATTAGGTGCTGTAGAAGTTTTCTGATTGGAAGAAAGATATTGGCCATCTAGTCTTTTGTATTGGCTGTGCGTTAAATAATTTTACTGACTTATAAAAATTTTCCATCTTCAGCCAATCCTTTGTGGTATAGATGACATACGACAAAATCAGAAAGACGTATAATTATTGAAAATTATACGATTTTATGATCAGTATTCCAGATAAGTGATTTATAGCATAAATTCTGCTAAACTTGTGAAACTCGTAGTTTTTCCAGCCATCACTGGTACCCTGGTGGTTAGTTATTAATAATCAATGGGTTCTCCCCTTGAATGGCACAAGAGCTGGTAACCATTTTAATAGTGTTGACTGGTAATGAAATGTTCCCCTCTTCATGTCTGGGGGGGGGGGGGGCACAGTTTTGTTACAACAAACTCTTGTGCTATGTACATTCCCCCAGTAAGTTAATTGATATCAACTAGAGTAGAAGTTAACAAATGTTGGTATAAAATAAATACAGTGAAACCTGTATTAAGCGGACCCCGTATTAAGCGGACACTCTCTATTAATTGGACACCAGCTGACGTCTCAAAATTTTCTTCCCACATTTACTGTAAAATAAACCTGAATTCAGTGACATCTCTGTTAAGTGGACGTGGACATTAAGCTATTTTGTTATACAAAACCTGCAATAACTGGACACTTCAAGAGCTTTTTACTTCTAAAGTTCTAGAGGAAACTCCTTTAACATTGCTCAGTGATGTTGTTTTAAAGCTAAGTGATTATTCCGAATGATGCCGGTTTCGCCCCATGGCGAGTTCGCCCCACCGAGTTCGCACCCCTGAACTTATTCTAAACTTTTTATTTTCGAGTTTGCCTTCACCTTCAATGGATTAAAGAACGAGAAATAAACAAGTTTCGTGTGATTTTGTTTCATCATGCGCACAATGTTGTCTTTTTTTCTCAGTAAGAGAAAGATAACTTTTGAGCACTTAATCGCTAGTTGAGTCGATGTGGGGGCGAACTCGCCATGGGGCGAAACCGGCATCTACCGGTATACCTAAACGGCCTGTGGTTTGTAGTATTTAATTTACTCTGAGCCACTTGAGTCTTAACTAAAATGTATCAGCTGTATACTCAGAGAACTGTCAACTGTGTTTTGATGTAAAATGTTCACTTTCCTTTATTTCAGTTTCCTAAAGAGAGAGACTAATTTAAACTACTTAACATAATTGTCTCAAGTTGTTATTTTACAGCAATACATGATCTAAAAATGAAAATCCCCCACAGAAACGTCAAAAGGGATCCACAGCAATATTGATTTACCTGACCAAATTTGAAAACAGTAAGGACAATGAAGAACTTGACATGATATTGCCCATCTAGTCTATTGTATTGGTTGTGCGATGAAATATTTTAATCGTTGACTTATCAATGATTTCCATTTTCAGCCAATTCAATGTGATATAGATTCATGCAACAAAATCAGATATTAAAAGCAGTAGCATCAAGTCCTTTCTACAACGAGTTAAACATGATCGATTTTACGACCAGTATTCCAGAGAAGAGATTAATAACTAGCATAAATTCTGCAAATGTTATTGTAAACTTGTGACACTCTTTAAGACTGTCGAAGTTTTGCCAGCCTCTGTGACAACTCATCCTGTGAAATGGTACAGAAAAACAATTATTTAATATAACAATTAAATTTTGTGACATAAATTTTCCACATTTTCGCTAGCTTTATAATTTCTCTAAAAATTCTCCCAAACTTTCTTTTATGTTTGGATCAGACTATGCAAACGGATGCACACCATTCATTGACTGCAAACTTAACTTCTCAAGCAAAATTTATAATTCAGCAGTTTAAACAATAGATATCAAACCAGCCTGCAATGGTGTGTAGATATGCTGCCTTGATAAGCATACTAATTCACAATTATATTTCTCAGCTTTCTTCATTAGTAAGTTGAAATTTGATTGCAAAGATATCTCAAACACTCAAGACAGTGTTGTTCAAGTGTCCAAACACCTTAAGGTTTGGCAAAAATACTCTGCTGTGCATTGTGTTTGGAAATGACCGTGGTAAAACAAAGTCATCTATGTCTGATACGTTACATAAACCTGTTAAGAATCCTTGAACTAGTGAAACTGAATTTGACTGATTGGCTGTTTACATGAGCATTCCTGAGGTTAAAATTGCAACTTACTTGATAATATTCAGTGCATCATTTGCTCACCAAAATAAGAAACAACTAAACTGTACCTGTTCGGCAGAAGCGGCAGAAGCTGTACCAATTGGCTGACTTTGTTGCCCAGCTGGTAGCTCCATGTTTAATTCCAACCTACATGATGAATTTATTTTTGGGTAAGAAATGTGCTCTTACACTGGTTTTCACTAGCGACAGATTGGTGGCTTCTTCTGCTTCAGCTTCGAACTCTGACTATCTATTTTTCACTGGATCATAAGCCACAGAGTCATAAGTGGAACTGGAACAAATTGAAACATTCTGATTCTTTCAACTCGGATTCCATCGAGCTTAAGACTCTCCTTACAACTCTGATTTCTGATTTTCTCACGGTTGTGAGTGCTGTTACGAATCTGACTACCACTCAGACTCTGACTAGTGAAAAACAGTCTTTAACGTTAACACACAAGGATACAAACAACTCCTGGCTTTTCTTTCAGTTCTTCACTTTTACATGTAGTGTTTCTCACGCAACATTATTACTACGTGTACATGTACATATTTTCAAGTATGGAGGGCCAAATGAGGATGAGGTTTACAGTGTGATGACCACTCTTACTAGTAACAGAAGTGCTATTTGAGCCACAAGACATACTGGAGATGAAGGTAATATATTGCCATCCCCTACCAAACTGCCATGAAATGAGATTGGTATCCAGGGGGTTCACTATTTATAACCAATGGGTTCTCCCCTTGAATGGCAAAACAGCTGGTAACCATAAATAGAAGTGTTGACTGATATTGAAATTTTCTTTTCTTCATGATTGTGTTACAAATAAATGTCATTTTTTGTTAAAGCAAACTCTAATGCTATGTTCATTGAACAGTATGCAAATTGATATCAACTAGAGTGGAAGTTGATAACTGTTGGTATAAAATAAATAACCTAAAAGTCTCTCTATAGCTGATCTGTAGTAAGAACATTTTGACTTCTGTAATATTCATGACCTACACATTAAATCATGATATAAAAACATCTTGCCTACCCTGCTTCATCAGCAACTTGTTGCATGAGGCTATCTACTTGTCCCTAACAAGAAAATCAAACAATAAAACTTATTTGATGTAAAGTACATGGGTGTGCATTGGCGTAATGGCTACCGAGCAGGACTCTGGATCTGGGTCCATGTTTAAGCTAATGTTGTTTGTTTGGGTACATGTTGTTTTGTTCTTCGACAAAATGCTCACAGTGCACTTTTCACCAGGAGTATAAACAGTAACTAGTAGCAAAGGTAACCTGAAATATTTCAGAGGGTAACCTGCAATGTGCAAGCATAGCATCCCATCCCATCCAGTAGGAATCAAAGTATTACGGCTAGTTGTTTCATGCTTAAATAACTGGGATAAGATCTAGGGACTGGTATGCTTCCTAAGCTAGTGGTGACTCTATGAAAAACTCCATTTGGCAGTCAAATGCAAGATAACAATAATGAGGCAGGTATATTGTTAATTGTGGTACATGAATGCATATCATTGTAATGGGAATTTGTTAAATGTCTATAGGCTTGATCTCCACTGCTCTATAAGGTCCAGTCAAGTTTCTCCCTGAGAAGAGAGAGGTGAGCGGGGACTCATTTCCCGAAACAGTTGCTGGTAATTGAGCCTACTTGCTCTAATGTTTAATTTTTCTTAGACCTATGACTGAGACCTGGAAAGTTTACAATCCAGTGTAATGTGCTGTACATAAGTTATAACATTTTGATGGTCATACATGTACTTCAAGAGAGCCAATGGGGGAAATTCGAGACAGCCTAACCTAACCTTGGGATGGCTGTAACAAACTAAGCATGGATTACTATAAAATAATATTATTATAAATTACAATGGACTAATGATACAAATTATTCTCACCTGTGGTACTGTGAGTGTTGTGGTATCACTCATTGCATTTTCCATATAGCTGGATTGTACATCAAGATGCTCAAACTGTTGTTCAAACTTATCCATCAGAGCAGATACCTGATGAGATAAACATGTAGAAGTGACTATTCAAATATCTCTGAAAAAATTAATATAAGTAAATTTTTTTTGTGTTGTCCTGGTTCCAGAAATAAACATTTCATGTATTTGAAAGTATTGACGGATATTCTTCATTATTTTTGCCCAGAAGCCAAGAGAAAAGAAAGCAGTCTCCCCCTCTATCAGCATCTCATCAAAAGTAGTGAGTGAGTAACTTAGCAAATGACCCACCTTTTCTAGGTTCATAGATCTCATGGCTGAATCCATTGATTTCACTACACCGGACATTGATCCTGTCACCTGTTAAGATGTAGAAAAAGTGATAATTAAATCAACATTATGCAGTATAACATTTTGAAACATAACAAGCTGGTAGTGTGGGAAAAAATACTGGGTTATTCTTCAGTTATTGTATTAATAATAATATGAAGAAGAAGCTATTACAACAGATATAATTGACTTGTGTTTCAAAAATTCAGAGATGACGTTTAAGCACTTGACAGCCTTCCAAATGTAAATAAGAACCATTTATTTCTAAAATAATGTTAGTAACATTTATTTATAATGTGTGCATTACCTGTTTCATGGTAACAGCAGTCTGAACTCGTGAAGCTGTGGCATCAATTCTTGCACTTAGTCGCATAAAATTCAATGCCTGTGATTTAAATGAAAGTTCAATTTGAGTTAAATTCCTTTTCAAGACTGAACACGAGGAAGTACAGTTTACTGTAAGATCTTTCAGGCATGAACATAAAATGTAATATATTTTAATCTCTAAATTCTCTTTACTAAGGTTCATACATCTCCTTTAATACTTGTTTTGAGAATATTGTGTAAAACAATCCAATATTCCTGACTTGATTTTGTTATTAATTCTTGCCACCCATCGGTAATGCAGTGAACTGATAATGTTTATTAGTAAGAACACTTTTGAAGATATTGATTTGTTCACCTGATTCTTTTGTCTAATGGAATTTTCAGCATGTATTTTTGCTCCTTCTAAATTTCCTTTTTGAATGGCCTGTGGAAATAAAATAAGTTACAAACAGATATATTTTAAAATGTCCTGAGTGATGTCAGTTACCTCAAGTTATAAGTATATGCTACTAATAGGTAAACAAGAATAACAACTATTTTGTTTACAACTTTGATACCTTCTTTAACTTCAATTTCTCTGCTTTTTCTTCTTTTTCACATTTCTTGGATTTTCTTTCTAAATCCTTGGCGGCAAACTGATTTGGAATAAACATGAATAGCAAGAATAAAACGTTAGTATAAACATAGATAAATACTGATTACAGGTTACTAAAAAAATAGCTCTAATTTACTTCATTAGAATCTCAATATAGTGTCAATATTGTCACATATAATAGTGGAAAAAAAGTCAAGAAAAATGTATCATATTAAATATTCTGCATGGAAGGCTAACATTCTGGTTAGATTGCATGATCACAATCCCTACAGCCAGGAGGACATAAGACAGCACAGAATGTCCATCTCTCTGTCTCTCCATCCTGTATTCTCTTTTTGGAGCTCTTTCTGATCTCTCAGGAGGTTGAGGTTAGGCATTGAGGTAATGTTTTAGGAGTTGACTGAATTTTAGCTATCTTCTCTGATCACTAAACTTACTCCTGAGAACAAGTTTCTTGCGTGTGAGACTTGAGCAAACTGCTGAGATTTAGGCTACCAGGGTTCATTACTAGAATTAGGGTTTGGAGCTGGAGTTTAGGGCTAGGGTTTGTGTCAAGACAGGGATCCACGCCAGAAGGGGGGAAGGAAGGTGGGGTCCATATTTTTCTCTGACCCAGAGCATGGAAGGTAACATTTTGAAAAGCAGGTTCATTTCATTATTTCAGGTCCAGCTGTTTGATTTATCCAAATCTGCCCCCCCCCCTCTCTTGTCCCTCTTTGATGCACCACATTCCTTGTACAGTTTATGCAGGTGCTTTCTGCTTGTAAATGAGAGATCTTGCTGAATACAATGCTCTATGACTGGGGTCCTAGTTCTCTATTTTTCTCTGACTCTATGGTTTTATTACATTTATTTGAGATGCCAGTCACTTACCTTTAAATTAAAGAGATGTTCTTAAGTAAAGCAAAAATTGAAAGTTAAGGATAAACAGGGCATACTGAGTAAATTAGGAGAAAATTGCCAATGGCTAATTCCCTCTAAGAAACGTGCCCACTGGGAATCATGTTAGTTGTACTCATCAAAACAAACATGACGAATTGAATACAACTATCATGATTCACTTCTTTATATGTGTATAATACAAAATTCTGGAAGAGGGTTTCTATAACAAGAAGGTACGTTAGAAAAGTTCTAAAAATAACCGTAGTTTAGTGAGTTTTGGCTTGTGTTACCCCATGGCTACATTTGCAAAGAAATTCTTAGGTCTGTTTAGAACTCTTTTACATCTAAAGGCTGTACAGATCAGATTTAAGCTTATAAATAAGGAAACTGAATGCATAGAGATAAAAAAAAAAACCGAATGGTTACAAAGAGTTATTTGCAGCATACATTGTTAGCAAAGACATACAAGCACACGATCAGGATACGATAGGTAAGCCTGAGTATCATAAAGCTAACTAAAACTAAGCCATGTAACATACAAAAAATTTTCGTTTCACTCGACTTGAACTTCAGCACACTGAGTCTTTCGAGACAAAGTTAAGATCAAAGGATACTTTCCATCTGACTCGACATGGCCACAGGCTTTCTTACGAAACGAATGAATGCTTCTGAAGTACAACTCTGCTTGGAAAACCTTTGCAAGTCGCTTATTTCGGCGATCTAACTATTTCCAGCACAATGTTTTCATCTCCCAAAACGGAACGAGTGATGTCATCTGTGAGCCGGCGTCAGATGACCAGCAGCTTCCCACGCTATGACGTCATGTCCAAGGAGAAAATTACGTCCCAGTCCTTAGTTTAGCCGCAAAATACAAATGGCGGTCAAAAGTTTTGTTCTCTTCCTTGGAAAAAGAATAACTGAATAACTCGTTCTCCTCAGTCATGGGAATTCGTTTTAGAAATACTCCTCTCTTTCCACTCGTGTTGGAGCAGTCAAAAGATTGGTTTAGAAGGCAGATCAGCTCACAGGTACAGGTAAAGTCACATTGAATTATCTTGTAAGTTGGGGGAGGCTACCAGGGCCAGAGTGCTTAAGTATTAACCCAAAAACCCATAGTTATCCCCACTATCTGAGAAGCATTTCAATTATCCTATGACATGTTTTGAAGTGGATAATATAACATTTACCATGCCCATACAGGTGTTAAATTTCTGTGTAGGGGAGGGGAGGGGGAATGGGGTGGCTGGGTGCAGGGTGGGGAAAGCAAGAGAGGGGAGAGGTCGGTGGTTTGAAATTTCCACTTCTGTTTCCTTTTACCCTTAGTCTCTACCCCTTTCCTTTGGCTCCTACCTCTTGGTGCTTTTACTATTTGCAAATTATATATTATGCAATGTGGCCAAATTTTTCTTTATTTCTCTTTGTTCACAACACTGTTAGAATCCCCCTTCCTGCCCCTCTTCTGCCATCTTACATAGAGTTCCACCTCATTTGCTTGTGAGTTTCACTCTCCTTCCCTCCCTCAGTAACATAATTTGCAAATTTTGGGAAGTTACTCCTTTGGCTTTAAGGATAGTAGGACCATGTGTGTTGTGCCCAGAAAAGTACCAAGACAGCAGACATAAATGCAACATGCTTTAATACGATCGATTCCTACAGCTAGCACAATTCTCTCCTGCTACCGCTGGTCAGCGGTCAGTTAGGACTTCATGTCACTACATCTTCCTTTTTCTTTTAACTTAACTAAATGTCAATAAGCACATCACTGTTCTCCAGTGTCCTAAATAAATACTAATCTTAGCATTGTTCAATAAGTCTTTCCAGTCTTCTAAGAGCTCCTCTAGGTCTAAGGCGGGTAAGCAATGGTTCAGGCTGTAAGGGCTCATTTATTGCTGGTTGGTCCTCAGGAACGGGCAGTTCTCAGTAGTCTTCTTGGCTGGCTCCAAGTGCTAAGGGAACATCTGGGCTCCTCTCTCTTGTTGGTGTTGATTTGCGGCTCTCATGGCCCTCATTCTGGGGTGAGACTGGAGGTCTTCCTTCAAGAACTCTTCATGTCATCCTCCGGTTCCTTCTGACTTGGCGATTTGAGGTCTGTATGACTACAGACCTAGGAGATTCATGTTGTTTAATTACTGTCCCTTCTGCTCTCAGGACATGAATCCAAACGCGGTCACCATGTGACAGCTCCTCTCCCTCTACTACTCTGTGTCTCTGGTCATAATTGAATTTCAATTTTGCTTGGTACTCCCTCTCTTTCCTTCTGATGTGATCATAGTCAGGGGTCTCTGGCCTCAGCTCATCCGGGTGACAGGGGACTCTAGCACATAGTTTCTGACCCATGCTTAATTGTGCTGGAGAGTAACCATGATGCAATGGAGTATCTCTGTAATTCAGGAGAGCCAAGTATTCGTCACTACTCTTATATTAGACCATCTTCATTGTTTGGATCGCCCTTTCCACTTCACCGTTGAACTGGGGATATCTTGGAGATGAGGTAATGTGCTGAAAAAGTTGCTGGAAAAGTTGGCAAACTCGTGTGAATCAAACTGGGGGCTGTTGTTGGTAAATAAGATATCCGGAATCCCATGTCGACTGAAGATCCTTTTAAGCTGCAGGATAGTCTGGGAAGAGTTCACATCCTTGAACACTAGGCATATCTCTACATCTCCTGAAAAATAATTTACAGCCAGGAGGTAATGTTTATCCTTGTGCTGAAAGAAGTCTACACTGACTCTGCTCCATGGTCGATCTGGAAATTTAGTACTTTTCATTGGCTCAATGCGTTCTCTGCGATATTCCTCATGCGTAGCACAGTTTTGCACAACCTTTGAGATGTCTTGCGAGAATCCAGGCCACCACACGGAGGAGGCTGCATTCGTACATGTTTTGGTAATCCCACTTCTGACACCATGTTGTGTCCGGAAAGGTACCAAGACAGCAGACATAAACTCAACATGCTTTAATATGATCGATTCCTACAGCTAACACAATTCTCTCCCGCTACCACTGGTCAGCGGTCAGTTAGGACTTCATGTTACTACAATGTGCATATTTAGAACCAAATGCCTAGGTGTCCACAGCAACCCTGTGAGCAAAATCACCATGCAGCACTGTCACACTGAGTAAGGGAAATTCAACGGAGATAGGCTGGGCTATGTACAAATTAAATTTTTAAGGATTATAATTTTTATAAGCTTATCTATCAAAATAAAAATACAAATGTGAATATACTGCTGGCCAGTATTGTCTTGATTTTGTATTCGCATACAGCCACATTTGCTTATACTGACCTGGGTATACCTAGCCTGCATAGCTAGCAGTCATGGGAGTAATCAAGCACAGGTTAGAGGGGACACTGCCCATCTGATTGAGATGACAGATTTGTCTCTATTTATGTTGCCTTTCCAGTTTGCATCCTTCTGCCTTTGTAAAGGTACCATAAAAGTTCAGTATCCTACCAAGTATAATTTGTTTGTAATTATGGTATACATGACACCAGGGTTTTAAGTGTGACTCACTAACCAAGACCACCACTGTGTCCTTCTCTCTTCCTGTATAGAGCCCTCGACCAAGTCGGTACAAAAGGATTTTTTCTGGAATCCAACCAACAGGAACCATGCATATTGGCAACTACTTGGGAGCAATCAAAAACTGGGTTTCACTTCAACAAGGAAGCAAAGATGCAGTGCTCTACAGCATTGTGGATTTACATTCCATAACCCTTCCACAAGACCCTGCCACATTACGGCAGAGCATTAGAAACATGGCAGTCTACTTATTGGCTTGTGGAGTGAACCCAGAGAAAAGTATTCTTTTTCAACAATCTCAGGTGAGGTTTCTCTGCTATACATGTGTTAGTGTTATCACAATTTCAACAGGCCACTTTCAATATATTAAAATTCAGCTTGATGGTGAGGCCTAGAGGACACAAACAAAAGAAATGAATAAACATGGGGATTCAATTTCCTTTGTTTGTGTCCTCTAAGCCTCACTGCCAAGCTGAATTTAATATACAGTCAAATTTGAGGAAACCTCTATTAAGTGGCCACTCTCAGGTACGAAACAACTGGCTGCTTAATAGAGGTGGCCTTTTAATAGAGGTTCACCCGAAAACAATGTGTGGCGTGGTCCAGTTTTCACTTTATCAAGTACAAACAAACAGAAGTGGAGAACAAGTAGAACAATGATGGCTATAATACAGTCCATAACGTTAACAAAAGCCAAAGAAACAATTACATTTCCACATTGTCATTCTTTTAATGTCCAATTTCAAATCTTCCTGGCTGTTTAACAGAGGTGTAAAATAAAACAAAATCACCCTTGGGACAGTAAGAAGCTGGCCATGGCCCCTTAATAGAGGTGACCATTGAATAGAGGTCTTTTTTTACAGTGTATAGCTGACAGTTATTCCAGGACTTTGGCTGCTGGCCGCCAAATAAAGGTTGGCTGCTTAATAAGGGGCCACTTAATAGAGGTTTGACTGTATCAAAAACGGTCTATTGTCCTGAGTTGTCGCTGTCATTTGAAAATTCATGACTCAGTCCCAGTATCTCTGTAGTGGTATCTCTGGTCTCTATTTATTTTGTAATATACAATTTTGCATTGGTGTTATTTTAAGGTATCCCAACATGCAGAGCTGGCCTGGATCCTAGGATGTCTGGCTCCCACAGGGTTCTTGAATCGCATGCACCAGTGGAAGGTAACCATGGTAACAGCTTATTAACAGGTGTGATGTGTGATGACTGTCGCTCTCTTACAGCAGTTCATTGTGTCAAACATCGCTTCCCTTGAGTATGGGGAAAAGCAAAAAAAGAAATTAAACTATCTTTAGCGGCAGATCCAGATGGGGTCAAAATGAGAGGTGAACAGGGATGGCTGGGACAAAGTAAGGACTAGCCTGATTCTCAGACAGGAGAGGAAGCGCATGGTTGTGAGTGACCTGGACAATCTGAGAATCAGGCTAAGAAGAGACTAGACCTTTCTAATTTAGACAGGGGGTATACATTGTTTACCTTGTGTATGTTTATTTTTGTTGTTTCAGACTAAAGGAGGTGAAAATAAAGAGAAAAACTGTTTGGGACTGTATTCATACCCTGTGCTTATGGCAGCTGATATTCTCCTGTACAAGTAAGCCTTATGTTTGTAAATTAGCAAAGCACTTCAGTATCAATCTCTTTTTGATGGCACATTAGTTTAGAAAATGTACAATGCATTTAAAAGTTGTTTTAAAATAATTTGTTGAAAACATGTCTTCATATCTTTCTCCACAGTTCAAATATATAATCTTTCATATATTCATTTGTAATGTCTTCATATCTTTCTCCGCAGTTCAAATATATGATCTTTCATATATTCATTTGTAAATTAATTTGTTGTTAACGATCTTCTTTTTAGAGCCACTCATGTTCCAATTGGAGAAGATCAGTTGCAGCATTTGGAACTTGCCAGAGAACTTTGTCGGCTGTTCAACAATACATATGGAAACTTCTTTCCTTTTCCAAAATCTATTCTAGGTACAGTTGATGTTGGAATTTAAATTTACTTCTGCACTTTATCACATCCCTAAGAGACTCTTGATCTAAACTAACGTAGTGTATTATCATTCAATGCATTTTTCCTTCCTTTTCATTGGGCCAAGAGCCCACCACAGGACCTGCAAATAACTTCCTACAAATAATGGTCAGCTCCTGTGTAATACCAACTATTATATAATGTGTTTTGCTGCAAATAACTTTCTGCTCATGTGTAATTGTAGCCGTATGCATGCTGTTGTGTGAAAACAGCAGATCACTTCCCTGAGATGTCAGAGTGTGTTCTAAGTATGAATACAAATGTATTGATCACATGATCATAAAACGATAATTATTACTGAATTCGGTTATGGCAAAATATTGTAAGTGATTTGTCAGTGTCTTCCAGATCAATTATTTGCCTTGGGCCTTCATTTCAGCAAATAATTGATCTGTTCACCACTGACAAATCATAATGTTTTGCTCAATCCCATGCAATGATGGTTAATTATTTTCCATTTTTTCCACCAGGCAATTTCACTCGTGTGATGAGCCTACGTGATGCGTCCAAAAAAATGAGTAAATCAGATCCACAAGAAATGTCAAGAATTGAACTGTCTGATCCTCCAGACATTATCAAGAGCAAGATACAAAAGGCTGTGACAGATTCAGAAAAACATATAAGTTATGATCCACAAAGCAGACCAGAAATGACAAATCTTATAAATATTTATGCTGAATTCAGTGGTTCATGGCCAGAAGACATTTGTGAAAAATATTGCAACATGGAAAGGTGCAAGAGTACTTTCAAAACAGACCTCACTGAGCTTATTGCAACCAAGTTAAGCCCAGTACGAGACAATGTGCTCAAGATTCAAAAGGATGTTGGCTATGTTGATAGTGTTCTAAGAACAGGTGCAGATAAGGCACGAGACATAGCGGAAACAAACTTAATGGAAATTAAGACAATGATAGGGCTAAGATGAGTAAATTACATTTAAACAGACCTCAGCAACAGTGGAATCATTTTATACTGAAAATTGGAGTTGCAAGACTTTGTGTTAGAGTTTTTCTAATCACAAACAGAAAAGCACCACACAACAATAAAGAATAATCAATCCATGAAATACCTTACTTTATTTGTCAAAGACTTCAAATTTACTCTGTACAATTACTGTCGTCTTTATGCCAGGCATTCCTTCACAAAACACAGTAAATGTTATTTTTTAACACCTTGGTTGCAACCTCAAGTGAAATATACAAAGCACCCACTAAATTATCTTGTGCATTTTTCTTCCATATAATTATTTATCTTCGAACTGTGCTACCTGGTTGTGTATAAAGTAACTAGATTTGATTCTAAATAAAAGATCAATAGTTTGTATTTATAAGTTCCCACATTAAATTTGTGCCCTAAAGTTGCACAAGTTTAACTTTGAGACCAGAGAAAATGTTCCCCTTTCCAGACGTAAAATTCTTCAGGCTTTTGTAGTTTGAATGTCAACAAATTCACCTTTGATTTAGGCCCATTTGAAATAAATGTCTAACATTTCATGTTATACCTCTGTTTTAAGAGATGATGTATAGTTTATGTTCTATCGGCTATTTTTTCCAAAATGTTCACTCCTGTTGTCCAAGTTGTACTGGTACACACATGATAAATAGTGGAAAATGTTAACAGTCATGACAAAAGAACTAGTGATTTCACTCGCATAATAATCTGTAATTTGTAAATTGTACATTAATAAAGTATACATGTATGACTGGATTTATGAAAAGGGTGTTGAAGATGATTTCCAGTCAGTACTGTGCACTCTTGAGAGTTTGTTTACATTTTGTTTTGTTCCATGTAAGACATCACAAAATGTGAACATTTCGCAACTACTTAGAGGAAGTAAATTCAATGTTTCATTATAACTGCCATTTAGACACGAAGCTTTACGTTTCATTCTTTCTCATATCACTTGACGAAACAACTTCGCAGCGGTAAAAATCAATGAAACTGTTGGAAAAAGAACTTGAAAGGCCTCCAAGATAAAAAAAATTTAGGGTGCTGAGACTGTGCAGTGCAGACTGGAAATCATCTTTAAAATATGAAATGATACTTTCTTTTGCACCAAAGGAGCTACACACTTTGATTTCGTAACTCCTAAGGGCCTAAAAATCACTCCAAGCTATGGAAAACAAGGAGTAGAGAAGAGCACAAGAGGAAGATAAGAGAGTGGACCAAAAAAAAAAACATACTGACATTCCTTTGAATTTCTATCTCTTCTTATTTGGAGATGTCTCTGACAAGAAAATCATCTACACCAGGGTAAAATTTCATTCACATCCTTTTCAAATATCCAGACATGTATTTAAAACAATGGAACCCCATTAATCTGGACACCAACGGGCCTCAAAAATCTTGCCGTATTAACAAGGTGGCCGTATTAAATGGTTCTTTAAATATTAAGAAAATGACTGATGGAGCATTTTTCTGACCAGAATAAAGTGGCCATAATAATGAGGTGGCTGCACTAATGGGGTGGCTTTAAGGTGGGGTTCCATTGTATAACATATTTAACTTTCAATTTTCTGGGTTGCTGCTTGCACAGGTAGGAAAGCAGTAATGGCAGACATGAAAAACNGGAGAGTAACCATGATGCAATGGAGTATCTCTGTAATTCAGGAGAGCCAAGTATTCGTCACTACTCTTATATTAGACCATCTTCATTGTTTGGATCGCCCTTTCCACTTCACCGTTGAACTGGGGATATCTTGGAGATGAGGTAATGTGCTGAAAAAGTTGCTGGAAAAGTTGGCAAACTCGTGTGAATCAAACTGGGGGCTGTTGTTGGTAAATAAGATATCCGGAATCCCATGTCGACTGAAGATCCTTTTAAGCTGCAGGATAGTCTGGGAAGAGTTCACATCCTTGAACACTAGGCATATCTCTACATCTCCTGAAAAATAATTTACAGCCAGGAGGTAATGTTTATCCTTGTGCTGAAAGAAGTCTACACTGACTCTGCTCCATGGTCGATCTGGAAATTTAGTACTTTTCATTGGCTCAATGCGTTCTCTGCGATATTCCTCATGCGTAGCACAGTTTTGCACAACCTTTGAGATGTCTTGCGAGAATCCAGGCCACCACACGGAGGAGGCTGCATTCGTACATGTTTTGGTAATCCCACTTCTGACACCATGTTGTGTCCGGAAAGGTACCAAGACAGCAGACATAAACTCAACATGCTTTAATATGATCGATTCCTACAGCTAACACAATTCTCTCCCGCTACCACTGGTCAGCGGTCAGTTAGGACTTCATGTTACTACAATGTGCATATTTAGAACCAAATGCCTAGGTGTCCACAGCAACCCTGTGAGCAAAATCACCATGCAGCACTGTCACACTGAGTAAGGGAAATTCAACGGAGATAGGCTGGGCTATGTACAAATTAAATTTTTAAGGATTATAATTTTTATAAGCTTATCTATCAAAATAAAAATACAAATGTGAATATACTGCTGGCCAGTATTGTCTTGATTTTGTATTCGCATACAGCCACATTTGCTTATACTGACCTGGGTATACCTAGCCTGCATAGCTAGCAGTCATGGGAGTAATCAAGCACAGGTTAGAGGGGACACTGCCCATCTGATTGAGATGACAGATTTGTCTCTATTTATGTTGCCTTTCCAGTTTGCATCCTTCTGCCTTTGTAAAGGTACCATAAAAGTTCAGTATCCTACCAAGTATAATTTGTTTGTAATTATGGTATACATGACACCAGGGTTTTAAGTGTGACTCACTAACCAAGACCACCACTGTGTCCTTCTCTCTTCCTGTATAGAGCCCTCGACCAAGTCGGTACAAAAGGATTTTTTCTGGAATCCAACCAACAGGAACCATGCATATTGGCAACTACTTGGGAGCAATCAAAAACTGGGTTTCACTTCAACAAGGAAGCAAAGATGCAGTGCTCTACAGCATTGTGGATTTACATTCCATAACCCTTCCACAAGACCCTGCCACATTACGGCAGAGCATTAGAAACATGGCAGTCTACTTATTGGCTTGTGGAGTGAACCCAGAGAAAAGTATTCTTTTTCAACAATCTCAGGTGAGGTTTCTCTGCTATACATGTGTTAGTGTTATCACAATTTCAACAGGCCACTTTCAATATATTAAAATTCAGCTTGATGGTGAGGCCTAGAGGACACAAACAAAAGAAATGAATAAACATGGGGATTCAATTTCCTTTGTTTGTGTCCTCTAAGCCTCACTGCCAAGCTGAATTTAATATACAGTCAAATTTGAGGAAACCTCTATTAAGTGGCCACTCTCAGGTACGAAACAACTGGCTGCTTAATAGAGGTGGCCTTTTAATAGAGGTTCACCCGAAAACAATGTGGGGCGTGGTCCAGTTTTCACTTTATCAAGTACAAACAAACAGAAGTGGAGAACAAGTAGAACAATGATGGCTATAATACAGTCCATAACGTTAACAAAAGCCAAAGAAACAATTACATTTCCACATTGTCATTCTTTTAATGTCCAATTTCAAATCTTCCTGGCTGTTTAACAGAGGTGTAAAATAAAACAAAATCACCCTTGGGACAGTAAGAAGCTCGCCATGGCCCCTTAATAGAGGTGACCATTGAATAGAGGTCTTTTTTTACAGTGTATAGCTGACAGTTATTCCAGGACTTTGGCTGCTGGCCGCCAAATAAAGGTTGGCTGCTTAATAAGGGGCCACTTAATAGAGGTTTGACTGTATCAAAAACGGTCTATTGTCCTGAGTTGTCGCTGTCATTTGAAAATTCATGACTCAGTCCCAGTATCTCTGTAGTGGTATCTCTGGTCTCTATTTATTTTGTAATATACAATTTTGCATTGGTGTTATTTTAAGGTATCCCAACATGCAGAGCTGGCCTGGATCCTAGGATGTCTGGCTCCCACAGGGTTCTTGAATCGCATGCACCAGTGGAAGGTAACCATGGTAACAGCTTATTAACAGGTGTGATGTGTGATGACTGTCGCTCTCTTACAGCAGTTCATTGTGTCAAACATCGCTTCCCTTGAGTATGGGGAAAAGCAAAAAAAGAAATTAAACTATCTTTAGCGGCAGATCCAGATGGGGTCAAAATGAGAGGTGAACAGGGATGGCTGGGACAAAGTAAGGACTAGCCTGATTCTCAGACAGGAGAGGAAGCGCATGGTTGTGAGTGACCTGGACAATCTGAGAATCAGGCTAAGAAGAGACTAGACCTTTCTAATTTAGACAGGGGGTATACATTGTTTACCTTGTGTATGTTTATTTTTGTTGTTTCAGACTAAAGGAGGTGAAAATAAAGAGAAAAACTGTTTGGGACTGTATTCATACCCTGTGCTTATGGCAGCTGATATTCTCCTGTACAAGTAAGCCTTATGTTTGTAAATTAGCAAAGCACTTCAGTATCAATCTCTTTTTGATGGCACATTAGTTTAGAAAATGTACAATGCATTTAAAAGTTGTTTTAAAATAATTTGTTGAAAACATGTCTTCATATCTTTCTCCACAGTTCAAATATATAATCTTTCATATATTCATTTGTAATGTCTTCATATCTTTCTCCGCAGTTCAAATATATGATCTTTCATATATTCATTTGTAAATTAATTTGTTGTTAACGATCTTCTTTTTAGAGCCACTCATGTTCCAATTGGAGAAGATCAGTTGCAGCATTTGGAACTTGCCAGAGAACTTTGTCGGCTGTTCAACAATACATATGGAAACTTCTTTCCTTTTCCAAAATCTATTCTAGGTACAGTTGATGTTGGAATTTAAATTTACTTCTGCACTTTATCACATCCCTAAGAGACTCTTGATCTAAACTAACGTAGTGTATTATCATTCAATGCATTTTTCCTTCCTTTTCATTGGGCCAAGAGCCCACCACAGGACCTGCAAATAACTTCCTACAAATAATGGTCAGCTCCTGTGTAATACCAACTATTATATAATGTGTTTTGCTGCAAATAACTTTCTGCTCATGTGTAATTGTAGCCGTATGCATGCTGTTGTGTGAAAACAGCAGATCACTTCCCTGAGATGTCAGAGTGTGTTCTAAGTATGAATACAAATGTATTGATCACATGATCATAAAACGATAATTATTACTGAATTCGGTTATGGCAAAATATTGTAAGTGATTTGTCAGTGTCTTCCAGATCAATTATTTGCCTTGGGCCTTCATTTCAGCAAATAATTGATCTGTTCACCACTGACAAATCATAATGTTTTGCTCAATCCCATGCAATGATGGTTAATTATTTTCCATTTTTTCCACCAGGCAATTTCACTCGTGTGATGAGCCTACGTGATGCGTCCAAAAAAATGAGTAAATCAGATCCACAAGAAATGTCAAGAATTGAACTGTCTGATCCTCCAGACATTATCAAGAGCAAGATACAAAAGGCTGTGACAGATTCAGAAAAACATATAAGTTATGATCCACAAAGCAGACCAGAAATGACAAATCTTATAAATATTTATGCTGAATTCAGTGGTTCATGGCCAGAAGACATTTGTGAAAAATATTGCAACATGGAAAGGTGCAAGAGTACTTTCAAAACAGACCTCACTGAGCTTATTGCAACCAAGTTAAGCCCAGTACGAGACAATGTGCTCAAGATTCAAAAGGATGTTGGCTATGTTGATAGTGTTCTAAGAACAGGTGCAGATAAGGCACGAGACATAGCGGAAACAAACTTAATGGAAATTAAGACAATGATAGGGCTAAGATGAGTAAATTACATTTAAACAGACCTCAGCAACAGTGGAATCATTTTATACTGAAAATTGGAGTTGCAAGACTTTGTGTTAGAGTTTTTCTAATCACAAACAGAAAAGCACCACACAACAATAAAGAATAATCAATCCATGAAATACCTTACTTTATTTGTCAAAGACTTCAAATTTACTCTGTACAATTACTGTCGTCTTTATGCCAGGCATTCCTTCACAAAACACAGTAAATGTTATTTTTTAACACCTTGGTTGCAACCTCAAGTGAAATATACAAAGCACCCACTAAATTATCTTGTGCATTTTTCTTCCATATAATTATTTATCTTCGAACTGTGCTACCTGGTTGTGTATAAAGTAACTAGATTTGATTCTAAATAAAAGATCAATAGTTTGTATTTATAAGTTCCCACATTAAATTTGTGCCCTAAAGTTGCACAAGTTTAACTTTGAGACCAGAGAAAATGTTCCCCTTTCCAGACGTAAAATTCTTCAGGCTTTTGTAGTTTGAATGTCAACAAATTCACCTTTGATTTAGGCCCATTTGAAATAAATGTCTAACATTTCATGTTATACCTCTGTTTTAAGAGATGATGTATAGTTTATGTTCTATCGGCTATTTTTTCCAAAATGTTCACTCCTGTTGTCCAAGTTGTACTGGTACACACATGATAAATAGTGGAAAATGTTAACAGTCATGACAAAAGAACTAGTGATTTCACTCGCATAATAATCTGTAATTTGTAAATTGTACATTAATAAAGTATACATGTATGACTGGATTTATGAAAAGGGTGTTGAAGATGATTTCCAGTCAGTACTGTGCACTCTTGAGAGTTTGTTTACATTTTGTTTTGTTCCATGTAAGACATCACAAAATGTGAACATTTCGCAACTACTTAGAGGAAGTAAATTCAATGTTTCATTATAACTGCCATTTAGACACGAAGCTTTACGTTTCATTCTTTCTCATATCACTTGACGAAACAACTTCGCAGCGGTAAAAATCAATGAAACTGTTGGAAAAAGAACTTGAAAGGCCTCCAAGATAAAAAAAATTTAGGGTGCTGAGACTGTGCAGTGCAGACTGGAAATCATCTTTAAAATATGAAATGATACTTTCTTTTGCACCAAAGGAGCTACACACTTTGATTTCGTAACTCCTAAAGGCCTAAAAATCACTCCAAGCTATGGAAAACAAGGAGTAGAGAAGAGCACAAGAGGAAGATAAGAGAGTGGACCAAAAAAAAAAACATACTGACATTCCTTTGAATTTCTATCTCTTCTTATTTGGAGATGTCTCTGACAAGAAAATCATCTACACCAGGGTAAAATTTCATTCACATCCTTTTCAAATATCCAGACATGTATTTAAAACAATGGAACCCCATTAATCTGGACACCAACGGGCCTCAAAAATCTTGCCGTATTAACAAGGTGGCCGTATTAAATGGTTCTTTAAATATTAAGAAAATGACTGATGGAGCATTTTTCTGACCAGAATAAAGTGGCCATAATAATGAGGTGGCTGCACTAATGGGGTGGCTTTAAGGTGGGGTTCCATTGTATAACATATTTAACTTTCAATTTTCTGGGTTGCTGCTTGCACAGGTAGGAAAGCAGTAATGGCAGACATGAAAAACCTTTTCCACATCATTGTCCCTCAAACTGTGGTAAATTAACTTTAGTTAATAAGTTACCACAGTAAGAGTTAAAATGTGGCTTGGTACATAGTTATTTATTTCTTGGACTTTCCATGGGTTTTTATGATCATCGAAATTGGCTCATAGGTCGACTGGGCTGTGATTGCAGTGCACCTGTATGCCGTTTCATGTTCTCCAGTTCTGACTTCAGATTCTTATGAAGCAACAGGAGATTTTCCTAAATGAAAGAATGCCAGCAAAAGGTAATTCAAGGGAAATAACAGAGTGAGTGAGTTAGGTAAAAGACTGACCGATGAAAAAGAGAATTAACATAGACCATGTATAAACAACTTTTAAACCATAAAGTTTTAAAATGTGTCTGTCCATAAGTCAGTCCATTAGTCAGTGTCGCTAGCAATTTTATTTTTTTTTAGTGTGAGATTGCATTAGTAAGACTGGCAAAAACCATTAGATGAATGTAGTGGAGAGAGTGAAAAACTGCTGGCCTGGAATCATGTCGTTTTTTAGCTCTGCCATGAACACTTACAGTAAGTAGCTACCATTTTGACTTTGGCATAAAGTTTACCACTTTAGAGACTGCCTGAACATTTGATTGACAGGTATGGCTCTTTCAGCCCATCCAGATTTCCTGTATGCTAGCTCACAGACTACTCAGAAATGGCTAATTGTCTTAGGCAGGCAGTTTGCCACTCTGTACCATTCTTCCCATGGTTTAAACTGTACTTTGCCACTGAAGTGCCTACAAAATTACCAGCTATGCATGCTATTTAGCTGTGAGTGTCACAAATTATACACAAGCAATCCATACAAAATTCTTTTAAAGTAGAACTGCAAAAAACACAATCATCAAAACTGACCTTTTCACTTGTCAGCATTGCAAACTCCTCCACATACTGGGCATTAACTTGTTGCTCTGTTTCGTATTCTTGTAACTCTCTCTCCAGTTCAAGCCTGCAATACAGGAAAGAAATATACTACAGTTGAGGATTCTGAATTGGATTTTAGTTTTTCTGTTACATATTGAGTGCATCAAGTCCACTTCTAAGTCTGTATTTGAGCCCAGTTGCCCATTAGGCTGGTGTTTATCTCTGATTTCCATTATAGCATGAAGTGACTAGGAATACTTCTACTCCCTCCTGCATGGCACACAACAGCTGTACTCCATCACAGGACTCCCCACAGAATTTAAATTGTTGGTACCCATTTAAAACATCTGGGTAGAGAGGCACTGTGAGAGTAAAGTGTCTTGCACAAGAACACAACATAATAATACCAGCTAGGGCTTGAGCCCAGACTGCTTGGTCTACAGTCCAGCATGTCAGAGTTTGTACTCTTTGAAGCTTTTAAAATTCCATGACTTTCCATGACCTTTACAAGTTTTCCATGAGCGAAGTTAAGCAGTTGTTCTCACAGTTTCAAAACAATCATTTAACATATTTTCCAGCGTAAAAAATGCTTAAGATGCGTGCTTTTTTTTTTTTTATCTTTTCGCCTTTTTATTATCAGAAAGCATATTGCTTTTCCATGACTTTCCATGACCTTCACTTAAATTCCATGACTTTCCAGGTTTTCCATGACCTGTATGAACCCTGCATGATAACACGCTTACCATTAGCAGGGGTTTCATTAAGGGTCAGGCACCGAGAAAACTGACCAGCTGTGAGGATGATTTTTGCCCGCCTGGTTTGACCATCTAGGGAAACGTTTTTCTTATATTAGAAGTACAGTTCACATAGTTTTGCCCACCTGTGAAGACCAGTTTCCCTCCTGCTGAAAACTTTAACGAGACCCCTGCTCANCCTGCTGGAAACGTCAATGAAACCCCTACATTAGGCCATTGCACTTCCCACAGACACAGCCAGAGGGGGGAGAGGGGAGGGGGGGAGGGAAATCATTATTGTCAGAGGGTTGGTACTTTCAAGATTTGTGAACAAAGGAAAGTTTTAGTAGCTACTCTCGTGAGACCACTACAATGGCAAATAATGTAAGACTCTGAGATAAAAAAATCTTGTTGATATAAAATAAAAGAACCCAAACGTTCTTACTTCTTTTGCAGAATCACTGCCATTTCTGTTTGAACTTGGATGTAATCTTTGGCAAGCTGCAGAAAGTCAAAAAAAGTAAACAGTAAATAAATATTAAATAATAAAAAATTCACCATCTTTATTCATCTATCACAAGATGATCCATGTAACTCAAGATATCATTAAAGAAAACAGCCAAATGTTTTCCGTTCTTACATAACACAAATGAAGCTGATTTATCAACCACTGATTACCCCAGTCTTTTTTTTGTTCGTAACACTTCAATTCTTAGTTAATAATAATATTTGCCAAGGTAATTCCTAATAAACTAAAATAATTGTACAGCAACATGCCATTACACAAGTTTTGTACATTTTATTTCAATACCTTGATATGTTCATCATAAATTGCCTGTGACTCTGGAATTGAAGGGTTTGGTGCAATAGGCTGTGGAGAAACGAAATGAACTTTAATTAATATGTGACTTATATGATAAACATATGACATAAATCATAATAAATTATGTCAACTGAGGTGGAAAGAATGAACAGGATTTTCAGTTTATATCAACTTGCATACAAGAAAGAAAACCTGAAAAAATTTCAGGTTTGAACAGTCTCAGAATCCAGCATGACCTTTGCAATCTTATTGCAAACACTCTATCACTGAGCAATATCAAAACCTCTGGGAACTGGTCACTTCAACTTCTGTATTATTCCCGTGAAGTGGTGAAGTATGACTGACAAAAAATGTTCAACCCTTCTCTTCAATTTGATGTTTTGATCCTTGACACAGGTTAAAAACTCTTTGAAGACTACTGGGATCACCTTGGTGCCTGGCCTTACTGTACACCAAATTATTATATAAATATGTCTTAGCATAATATTATTATACTTGACCTGCAATACACATAAATTTATAGATTAACTTCTTATTAACTGAGAGTAAGGTCTTTATGGGAAAATCTCAAACTGCAAGACCAAGGTTTGAGATTTTCCTGTAAATATGGAATGCTCGAGGTTAATAAGTTGTGTATTATTAATATGGCTTTTTGCTTTGTTTTTGCAGGCCTGAAATTGGAATAGAATAATAGAATAATAGAATAAGCCAATCAGAAAGCATGTTATATCGGCTACAAACACAAGCCATTTTAACAGTTAACAAACACCACATTTCCATGCATAACCCAGCCTTAAGTATTTTTTTTTGGCAGTACTTTTGTCTGTAATTCTATCTCTTACCTGCAAATGAGTTTCTAATGCTTGATAAATGCTAGTGAACAGTATGGGATCAACTACAGATTTAAGACAAAATAAATCTCATCAAAACATTTATGTCAAAAACAGGATGTTTCAAGAATTGAACAACTGTGAACAACTCTTCTAAGAGAAAACTAGATTTACTGTACGATAGATTCCTTCCTTTCTGTGGAAATCTATCAATCCATTATTAATGGAGGGAAACAGTGGAAAAGGCTTGCTAATACTTAAATATAGTGAGCCTTGTTCAATCACCTTGGGTCAAGGAAATGAACTCAAACTACACTGCAGGAGTGTCATTAACGGTCAGACACCAGGCAAAGTGACTGGCTGTGAGGATAATTTGGCCCGACTGGTTTGACCATCTAGAGGAAAATTTTCTTAAAAAGAATTTCAGTTCGAAAAATTCTGCCTGCTGGACAAGACCAGTTACCCTCCTGCTGAAACCATTAATGAAAGCTCTATGTACTGACCTTCTGGAAGACTGAAACAGTGGGTTTGTTAAAAATGAATATCTCAAACAAATCATTTGAACGGACCTAGCTCACCTCTCCTTGACAATGGACTTTCTCTCTCCCCACTGTACTTTCGTTCTGGAGATGACACTGATCTGTTCATGGGATAAGGTGGATGATGCACACGTGGGCCACTCACAGGCCAACTGGTCTTTCTATCAGGATAAGGGCTTGCTGCTCCTGAACTGGATTGACTGGAAAATCCAGAACCAGAACCCATAGTATGCGAACCTTGTGAAGGTGTAGAATGACCACTGGAGTTCACGTGTACCCTGTTGCTGTGGTCTGAAGGGTCAAGATCATTCTGAAGGGCCTGTCGCAACTCTTCAAGATCTAAGCCATCAGCCGGTGGCCTTTGAAATCCAGACACTGGGGTGTTCCTGGGTACTGAAGGAACACTGCTTGGTGTTGGCATTTGTATTGGACTAGAGGTGGAGGACACAGGGAAGTTGTAGGCAGAGACTGGAGGGTACATTGTATTTGGTTGGTAAACACCCTGCTGGCCATAATTTGGAATAGGGCTGGGAGATCTGTAGGGGGATGTTGCACCCCCTAGAAAACCAGAACCTGCCGCCTCAGAGTACACTGGAGGTTGCCCAGGTCCCAGAGATGGTGCTGTTGATATAAAGCCCCCAGCTGGGTAATAAGGTCTCTGCTGCATCCCTCCAGGTGGCTGGACATCTGTAGAATAATTCGGGTAGTATCCAGAGCTGATCATGGCAGGGCTGGATGAACGTGCAGGGTTCACTGGTTGTTGAAGGGACATTCTCGGGCTGGAAACCTTCACTTGGCTCACTTCAGATGTTGGTGGAGGAGAGGTGGTCAGACTGGCATTTGAAGTCGGAGAAGGTGAGGCAGACACAATTTTGATTGGCTGGAAAGTTATACCTGGGGGTGGACCAGGTATGGGACTTATTGGTCGGAGAGCAGGAACTTTTCCTTGCTTTTGATTGGATGATGGAGACCCTCCTGAGTCAGATGGCTGCCGAAAGAACTGGGCTGTTGGACTCTTTTCATTGTCAACAGAGAATGTAATGGTTGGAGAGGCTGGACCTCTGGGACTCTCGTGTGCTTCATCCATTGACGGCTCATTTTCAAATTCCTCAGGCACTGGTGTTTCATCTTCTTCTTTATCTTCATCATCCACTTCATACGAACCTTCCTTGTCACTCTCACTGGATGGCTGGCTCTGCACTCCAATTACAGTGTCACTCAGTGTACTTCCCTGCGTGGACATCTCCTGACTGTGTGGATCCAGTTCTGGACTCAGTAGTGACATGCCCTCAGAGCTTTCAGTGCTTTCATCTGTACTGTTACTCGCTGAACCAACAGGAAACACAAGGCAAGTATCAGCACCTGGAAAGAACTAGAAGTAGAAAAAAAAAACATTAATTCCTTATGACTTTCAATGAAGATTATGAGGTAAACTCTTCCGTGAATTTTTATTTTCATAATACAATATTGTCACAAAATTCTACCTTATTTCATATCATTTTTGTAATTCCTTGGTACTTTGATTTATTTCATTTTACCGTAATTTTAATGTAACTTATTTAGCAGTATTAGTACTGAAAAGCCCCCATGGATAGTGTTAAAAAAATTTGTATTGTATTGTATTACTCAAAGGGGAATAGCAAAAACTTATCCTGTACATGAACTAAAGGATTCACACACTAAACTCAATAATATGAAGCTCATCTTCCAGCTGCTAAGGATCACTAACAGTATTTAATTCCAAACAGTGTTACTTGTGAGTGTGATACTAATTTGTGACCTTTCGATTCTGAAGTCTTTCTCAGTAGTTTGTATGATGAGATAAGTGCAGCTGTCATTGAGATTGATTTCTCAGTTATGTTTACTAGTGTGCAAATACATGTATATTAGTGTAATTAAATAAGTGTATTTATTTGTGTATTATTGATTAGTGTATTTATTATACCTCAAATAGTGCTTCAATGCTTGTTGTGGAGGAAGAATACATGCACAGCATTTACTTTCTAGTGTGTGTGTGTGTGTGTGTGTAACGTGTCAACAAAGCTTTGTTATTTTGATGTTTGCTGCTGTTGTTTATCATGCTTATTGCTGCTAACTCAGTCCCCCCTACTTTCTTGATTGTGTGGACACTGCCATACCTGTGAGTTATGGCAATTGCTATGATTGGAAACTGACAAAAGATGATGCTGAAACATTGCATAGGCTAAAGAAATAAAGTCTGGGGGATAAGGGATTAACTGAAGTCAGAAACGTAAATCAATTTACCTGCACTAAATGCTGAAGTATATGAGCAATTCTTGTGAATGAAGGCCTCTTGGAGGGTTCCTTTGCCCAGCAGCTGCAAATGGAGTAAGAAACTAAACTTAACAAGGGTCCAATTTCCTTTGACTTAAAACTCTCAATGTCATGTGCTCTTGACAACTCTCATTCCCCCAGGGGGACTCCCATATAAAAAGGGCAAGGGCTGCTTGTCAGAAATTTTGAAACGAACCCCTAAGGGGTACCAAGATCCTGTTTTGTGGGCGTGGCTTGAAATTTTTTTCACCTCTAAGAGGTGCCACTTCTGAAACAACGCATTAGCTGACAATGACTTTTTTTTGGCTCAATACCCTAAAAGGTACTGCAAAGGCTCCCACTGAGGACCTTTTGAGACAGAACAGCCTTACAGGTAACAAAACCTCTAAAAGTTACAATGAACACCCCATCCTTTTTATATGGGAGGCCTCCCTCCCTGGGCTTACATCTCTCCTTGTATTTGAACCTGCTCGCTTGTTGAGATCATTGAAGAAAACTCTCATGGAACTCTGAATATCCTACATGTACTCTCAGTGACTCTCACTCTCATTTGTCCCTTAAGGCCAGAAAAATACATCAATTTAAAGAAAACTCAAACATACATCGTAACTCTGCCAGTGAGATAGCTGATTTATCTGTATCCTCTAATAATGTATTATTCAATTAAATGAGATTCTAATTTGAGATTATATGAGTTAAGCACATATCAGTCTCGCACCTTGTCATCAAATCTTCAATTGGTTTTGGAATATCTCTTATTAAAGGAGGTCTTGTTCCTGGAAAGAAAGGGAATCTGTCATTGAACTTCTGATGTACTGTGGCAAGTACCAAAAAGCAGCCATTGAGGTATTTCACCATGTCCAGCATGTGTATAGAACTGTCTTATTAAGCGTCGTGACTATTTCTTAAAATATATAATTTAGACGAGTGAGAAATGTCAGGGGATCATAACTATGTTTCAAAAACCTTATGCAAAGTACTTATCTATTGGCAAAGCAAAATTAAACAGTCAATTAGATTTTAGAATTCCTCGCAGTGATTAGTACTAAGGTATTGAAGACCATGTATCAGAGATTAACACATAGCTACTCAATTGTTACACATCAGGATCTACCAAACAATGAGAAATGAACCAAACATGAAATGTTTCACCCACCATTGTGAACAGCCCACATGATTCTGAATGCATTGAACCCTGACATGTCTTCATACGGCTTGCAGCGAGATATCATCTCCCAAAGAATTATACCAAAACTGGTGGAATAGAAAGTAATAAAATACTCCTCAATCACTTCATTTGCACACTTGAAGTATTGTTTGCTGGTTATTTCCACGTCTGTTTGACTTAAATTTGATCATAGATGTACATTTATTTTTGGTACATGTATCAAGCCATCCAATCCTACAGACAATCATCTCATCTTATGATATTATTGTACAGTAAGTTTTCTAAAGGGCCAAGTTGTCAGTTGTGTGGTACATTGTATGGTGTATTGCCGGTTTCATGTTCTGCTGCGGTCAATCACCTTGGGGGACCTCTCAGGAAACAGAAATGTACTTCAACAGGTTCAAAAGGTCATGGGTATATGTGTCGTAAAAGAAAGAAAAATTCCAATCCATTTTGCTTGTTTCTGTTTTTGGAGTTGTCATAATAAAATGTAATATAATCATAATTATTATGATTGATGGCAACCAAAAATCCAATGATTAGATAGGTTTTGAACTTCAGAGTCTGTGTGTTATTAAAAGGTGCAGAAAAAGTACTTCCATAATTAACATATTTTTTAAATAATATATAATTATGTACATGTATTACTAAATAATTACGCTTTTTCAACATACCTGAAAACATCACACTTCTCTGTGTAATTGTTGCCTAGGTACAAATTAAAACCATTACATTTCATGTCAGTAGTGTTTCCTGTACTAGTCAATACAGCACCACTAATGTTTTAGAAACTACTACCTTTAACTTAAACATATAACATAATTTCAGTAACACCCTTTTGGACCTGCATGTTCCTAAGGTTCAATACTAAATGTATTCTGTTCTACTGTATGACAGATGCCTGAAGTCCTCTTTCATTCCTACATGTAACATGTAAAAGAGAGTCTTGTCCGATTGTCCAGGGCTGAGGGATTCTACCTTCCACTTGCTTGACAGGCAAGTGAAGTTTCTTGGGAAAATGTTTGGGAAATTCAAATTGTGCATTTTCAGAAAATATCCATACCCACCCCAAGGGNAAATATGAGTTATGTTTAAAATAAAAATATTCACAGGTAAAAAGACCCGGCAGGCTCAAAAATTGGTTTTCTTTGCACCTTGTACTATGTTTTTGTTTCACCTTCAAAGACTTCAGGAGCCATCCATGCTGCACTTCCTTTGTTGTTTGTCATGTATGTTTTCATATCACAAGCTGTTCCAAAATCACAGATCTTTATAACAGTTCCACATCTTGTCAACAATAAGCTACAAGACGAAATCAGTTAACAAGGATTATGCACTTAAGTATATTCATTATCAAATAACTATTGAATGATAATTGAATGAATGACTGATTGACAAATCACTGGCAATTAAATATTTTTGCCCAGTTTAATCAAACATATGTACATGTACCACAAGATAAAATATATAACTAAAGATAATTTATTTAATGTCAAATACAAAGGGAGTGACAATAAATGTGTTTGACAAGTTAAAAACTAGCTACATATAAAAAAAACGGAGAACTAAGGTAGGGTTGTCTGCCTCATGTTTAACACTGCAAGATTAGGGGCTCAGGATTTCTATAAGATAAAAGCTGTTGAGGCCAAAGGCTGAATCAACTGTCACTTCATACATGTAGAAATCAAGAGAAAATAAGCAAATTGTCTTTTTTAGTAGGATTCCGACTAACTTCACATTTTAGCAAAATCACATCATTGTCATTTGAAACTTGTAGTCTGTTTATGTGCTCACCGATTAATTGAACAGTTTTTGGGTTTGAAAGTCGCATAACACAGTTTCCTTTCATTAGTCTTGTTGGAAATTGAATTATCCCATAATTTTTTCTAAATCTTCCTTAGAGACCTCAGAGAAATGGGAAAACATTGCAATTTTGTTGATCACCTTGCCACTGTACACTAATGGCTAATAGTGTGCAAGGCTCAGCCAATCAGATTACAGCATCTACATTAATTAGTACGCCAGTAGAATTCTACTTAGTAGGCCAGTAGAATTCTACTTAGTATAATTCTGGCTCTCTAGTCTTGACAGCATGAAGCAACAGCAATTAATAACCCTTTACAATATTGTGAAGCGTGAAACAATTGTGCCTCTGATTACTGCCTATTTGTAACAGTGTCTAGGTGAGATCTCAAATCCATTACATTCAAGACAAACCTGTCATCTTTCTTGACTTACTTTGGAGGCTTGAGATCTCTGTGAATAATTCCTTTGGGTTTGACACCATGCAAGTATTCCACACCTCTTGCACACTGTAGAGCCCAGCTCATTACATGGGAAGCTGTGTAGATTGGTGCCGGTAGTGCTCTGTGTGTCCAGTGAAGTACTTTAACATAAAAGAGCAAGATAATTATTTTAAGATTTATCTCTTACAGGGACCTTTTTTAGCTTGGCCTATCTTAAAGGAGCTATGTCACCGTTTGCACATCTGGAAAAATTTAGCCAAGTAAATATTTCAAGTCCGTCATTTGCAATCTGTGTCACTCTTCTACATCATTAACCATACTGTCTTGTTCCTTCATGGTTTATTATCTCCTTATTTGCTGTTTTTCAGTCTTAGTAAACTACTGTTTTCAGGTTTATTTAAAGGTAACTCTACAACAAAATAACTCAAAATACCATAACAGAGCTCCTTTAATACTAAGATGCATGTTGATGTACTCACAGTTATAGAGAGAGCCTCCTTCTGCATACTCCATGACAAGACACACCTGAACGTGTAGTACAAAAGGACATGATTATATAATGTTATTCTAATATTATACTAGATCTATGAGGTGATAGTTGATGAGACCAATGGCCAAATCAACTACACCATCATAGAGATCCCGAGCAAATAGCCTTAGGATTGTTTTTAATTAGTAGAATTCTAAGTTCTGACGAGAAAATTTCCCCATTTTGTTTGACCACATCAAGCCACTGCATACTAATTACTAATAGTGTGTGATGATGGCTCAGCCAGTGACATTGCAACATTTGCACTAGATGATCATATACTAGTAGAATTCTACTACCTACACCTGTATCATAATAACACTAAATCCAGGATAAAGAGATTGTGGCACACAAGGCATAAGTGTGAAAATGGAACTTTAAATGCCAGTAAAGCAAGTTTGCATACCCATAGACTTAAACTTCAACTCATGTTAGGTTCATAGTACCACCAGATTAAATAAATTTACAAAAAAAAAAAAAAATTAGGGTAAATGTTGTTCAGTCCCCACTATCCCCCAGTTCATAGTGTGGATAACCCTATCACTGATCCTGATCCAGATCACCCCAAAGGAACATACCCTTAGTCAAACTGTTTTTCTTTTTCTTCTTTCTAACTTTATTAATTACATTACATTACAACATGCCCTTAGTCAAACTTACTGGATCTTGTGTTGTACATGCACCATAAAGTTTGATGATGTTCTCATGGCTAATGCGAGACAACTGTTGTACCTATTGACAGGAGCTCCAGTTAATAAAATATATTTTAGTTAGTATAATGCGATTGCCTGGGTGAGGGTAGTCCTGAAAAAAAACATCTGTAGGCAACCGATGTTTAGACAACCACTGCAGTGAAAGTCATCTTCAGAGTCAAATGATGGTGTAAGTCAACAGTGTTATAAACCTGGTCCATTTAAACTATAACACCTGCTATAACTATGGCTGCAAGACTCATGTATAGTTCTTCAACAGTGATTGGTCAGTTCTAATAGTTTTCCATCTTCTGTTACAGTTATAGCTGTGAGATTTTTATCCTGGGAGTGCTGGGTTTTTCGAAGTGACGACACAAACATATCTGAAGATTCCCAAAGACATCTGAAAACTTCCGAAGCTGTCCAAAGTCTTCCGAAGGTAGCGAGAGGATTATCATTAAGGACGGTGCCTACTTTTGTTAGTGCACACACGTTCTGCGCATCATGCAAGGCAGGTTTAAGCGCCACGCACGTGCTGGGGTTGACACTGATGCAATCAACTACACTACCAAGTACACGACTAAAATGAAAGCAAAGTTTTCCCACTGTGACCAAATCAAGTTTACTTAAACCAGGAACACCAGAATAGCAGCATATCGCTAACCACGAACTGTTAACGTCTTCCAGCTGAAAAACTAGCTGTTGTCTATCAAAAATTATACTGAAATCCAACTGTAAACATGTACCTACAGATGGCATAGTGCTCGTGCAAAACAAGTTTGAGATACACAAATGTTTTACTTACTGGGGAGGTGACAGGAAAATATGTAACAGGCACTGCAAAAGTTCTCAAAAAAGATCAATAACTTTAAAAAACGCCTGGCTACCCCTACATTTTATGTTATGAAATGGAAGTGGCAAGCCTATTCACCACGTGATTAGTTTTGTGAGCAATAGGTATTTAGACTGTATTTCAGCTGAACCAGAAGAAGGCTGTCAAAGAACCTAAAAGTGCCGTTGCAATGATTTTGTTATTAAAAACATTAAAAATGGTTTTTGTTACCATTTACCATGTAGTTTTAAGATCTTTATAAATGTGTTTGCTTTTCTGTATGTAAAGGCAAATTCTAAGGAAATCTGCGAAGAAATATCCCTTCCTTCTTTTTTCAGAAAAATGCTGATGTCAGCATTTTTGTTGAGATTTAAGGCTAATTATCTCGAAAAAATGCATGGCTACCCCAATTTTTCTTCAGGGATTCCAGTAGCCCTTGCAAAGATCTACTTTTTCCGCGTGGTCCTAACCTGGCGCAAAAACCTTTGTATTTAGTAGGCACCGTCCTTAAATACCTCTACGTATTCATTATTTTTATTAATTACACAAGGAGAGACAAATATTACCTCTACAATGAAAGCTTTCTTTTCTGCCTCAGTTTCAATGGTCTTGACAGCAACAACAAATTTTCTTCTCCATACTGCCTTTGAAACAACTCCAAATGCGCCCCTTCCAACCGTCTAGAAAGATAATATGCGTATAATTTTGCAACAGACAATAGAAAAACCATTCAAATCAATTATTTCCAGTTTCAAGGTAAAACAAGATAATATCGTATACTACATGAAAGATTACTGCTGTTGCATTTTCGTAAAATCAACTTAGGCAGTTGCAAAAACAAAGCCTAAAACAAACAAGGTGTGAATGAGAGTTAAACCCATGACGTCTGTGCTATTCATGCAGATCTCCACCAACTGTGCTATTAAAAGCCAAATGAGAGTTATCAATCAATTTGTGTACTTGTAAATTTACACTCATTGATGCTGCAGGAAAAAGGAAGTCCTTTTTATCCTCAATGTGTTCCTGTTAACTTGGCTCTGAAAGAAAACTTGCTGTTTCCCTAGGGGCCAGTCAAGTACTTTTTATAATATCTCTCAGACAGTACGTGTATGTACACCATGATTTATTAATTTCTCAGGGTGAAATCTAAGGTATGCAGTTTATGCCCTTTTTCTTGCCTGTTACACTCATGATGACAAATATACATGTAATAACTGTGTTATTAACCTTGTTCTGTAAGTCCTTACTGTAAGATATGGATTCTTGTTGCTCCCATCTCCAATCAAGGGTCCATATTTTACCTTACATACAGTTCACCTCGATTAACAAGAGGAAAATACTGACAAGTAGACAATGAAAGAATAAGGTATGACAGGTATAGCTTGACAATTGTATTAATAAGCTTATTTTTTTTAGAAAAATTGTAGTAATTGTAGATTACAGTTTTATTAAAGCTTAGACTTTGGGAGCTTGGAATGGAAACAAAATAAAGAAAACAAAATCAAATCAAATCAAAACAAGTTTTCTTTATGAAAAATCTCATTCACAGGTATACTGTGAACTCTTCTTCTTCTTCTTCTTAAACCTGATTGTAACACCTTTGATTCCACAACAGTTACGTTACTAAGCTTAGATCGTTACCTCTGTTATCTCAAGTTCAGTGCTATCGATTTCTTCCACGAATCCCGGCGGAGAATCCGGCTGCAAATCGTCTTCTTCGTCCATTTCCAAAGTTCTGGAACCTGTTTTCAACCTTGGAGCAAAGCCTTGCTATTCACCTCACTGTACCACGTTGGCTAAATCGTCCAGTTTTTTTTTCGGTGCTTTCGCTATGAAAAGTTGAAGTTGCAAGTTCACATTTTGGCAGATTTCCGCCACAAAGGGCTGAACCGAATATTGTTCGAAACGGCTTGAAAACAGTTCAGAATTTGTGATACTGGGTAACCCTTCACGATCTGCTGCACTGGGGTTTCAATATCCTTTTACACTCGCTATAAATGAACTGTGAAGTTTATCTTTTCACCAAACAGGAAGCCTTCGATCGTTCATGTGACCGCTGCCATGTTTGTTTTGTGGAAAGTGCAATACATATCCCATGATTCAATGGAGACTAAGCGCGCCAAATGAGCATGCTCTGAACGAGTTTTCAAACGAATTTTGACGGCTTCGAGGAAAACTATTTCTGTAGGATATTTTGGGTAAGTTTTAAAACAGATTTCTTTGGAAAAAAAATTGGAGCTTGAGTGTCTATTTTTATGAACTGAACGTTTTTTGGGCTTGATATGTTTTACAAGCGTGGTCTTAAATATTTGACACATCTGGCAACCGTCGAGGCTTCCATCTTGTTTTTATCGGTCGAGGCCTGTTAATTATATCATTTGTGGTAACCACATTAATTTTGTTTCGTATGTATTTTTCCCTAGTAGAGCTTTTCTAATGGCATCTCTGTTACTTACAGAGGTCTGTTTAAACGTAAATTTCCTTTGATTTCTACTTGTGTTAGCTTACATGTAAGCTAAAACTTGATTACAAGCTCTGGCTTCCCTGAAAGTCAATTTTCAGTTGGTTGAGGTTGGCCCAATAATGCCATGTGTATTTATTTTGTTCTTTTTTGTTTTTGTACAAAGTATTTTTGACTGGCATTTTTGATCACTAAATTTTCGTTGTTAAATATGGGTCTTCCTGTGAGAGTTAGATGCAAATCRCACTGTTTTTCCTTTGTATCTCATTCTTTGTATTTCAGAGCAGTATTGTATCTTGTCTTTTATTTCTTTTGTATTAGGTCATCGGTGACCGTTACCTACTGAAGAAACAAAAAAATATTGCCCTTTTCATGGAAAAAAAACTCAAAGCAAAACACAAAGTTTTAGAGGTGGGCTGGGCGGGGTTGTGGATGTATGTGTCAAATTATGCAGGTTGCAATGAAAATATTGATGTTCTGGTAGCCATACCACTGCAAGGTAGCTGGAAGATTTTATTGGCCTATTTTTATCTACCAACTGTTTTTTATTTTCCCTTCAACAGGGTGTCATTTTTTGGGTTTGGGCCTTAATAGGGTGTCACTTTTCATGCCCTTCATCCTTAAATAGGGTCAGGGTTTAAGACTCTCCATGGCACACACCTATCTGAAATTTATGGAAGTACCCCCCCTGGGCATGCATGGATTTATTGTGGACACATGCATAAGTTATACACTCAACATCTAACCTATTTCCAGGTTATGATTACAAAATGAGTCTTGCTGAAATCTGTGAAAATGCAAAAATGGCACGCGAGTATGCTCTCCTTGGCAACTACGACACATCACTAGTGTATTACCAGGGAGTTATACAACAAATACAGAAGCACATCCAGCAGTTGAAAGATGATGCCATCATGAAACAGGAATGGCACCAGGTGCGTAACAATAATTTTATTTGATTTACATGGAATTTTCAGCTGTCTCTTTCATTCCTCCAAATACTACTACTGTACAATACCACAGTACCACAATACCAAGTTTGTGGTATGTCCAGAGTTAAATTCTCTCAAGTGCTGACAAGAAGAAAGTAAAAAAAAATATCTCACATTTATTGTTTTATCCTTCAGGTACGTCAGTCGATTGTCAAAGAGTATGACCAAGTCAAAGAAATCAATCAAACCCTTGCAAATTTCAAGAAGGATACAGTACACTTTGGAGGGCCTCGGCGTTCACATGAAGAGGAACCTACAAGGGACCCAGACGTGTGGCCACCACCCACTCCAGTTGAGAGAGACAACAGGTATATGTTCTACTACTGTTAAACATAGAAATGCCATAAAATCATGATTATTTAATTTTACTTATAGCATCTTAAGTCATGTTT